ATTGACATTAACTCCTATTAACATTAACTCCTATTGACATTAACTCCTATTGACATTAACTCCTATTGACATTAACTCCTATTGACATTAACTCCTATTGACATTAACTCCTATTGACATTAACTTCTATTGACATTAACTACTATTGACATTAACTCCTATTGACATTAACTCCTATTGACATTAACTCCTATTAACATTAACTCCTATTGACATTAACTCCTATTGACATTAACTCCTATTGACATTAACTCCTATTGACATTAACTCCTATTGACATTAACTCCTATTGACATTAACTTCTATTGACATTAACTACTATTGACATTAACTCCTATTGACATTAACTCCTATTGACATTAACTCCTATTGACATTAACTCCTATTGACATTAACTCCTATTGACATTAACTCCTATTGACATTAACTACTATTGACATTAACTCCTATTGACATTAACTCCTATTGACATTAACTCCTATTGACATTAACTCCTATTGACATTAACTCCTATTGACATTAACTCCGATACTCCGTCCCTTCAGGTACCGACCGATAGTGACGTGATACCCGGGACCAACCGACTATGTTTGTGATGACGCAAGTAAACCGGACTATATCCACAACATTTGTGTGCCAAAGTAGGCCGACATAGAAATATTTACTATAAATTTGTCAATACGATAAATATATACATTAATGTGTGAGCAAATGTAGCTACCGCTGCGGTTTTCAGTAACTTATAAACAGTCCTAAAACATTATTTTGGCTTTATCACTAAATTTCTTTCAAGAAAACGGTACGCCACTGGTATTTTATGCTAACATTTCTTTATGCGTAGATCGTGAAGTTTGCATTTTCAAAACCAATTGAAAGGAGAATGGAATCGTGTGCTTAGCTGCTAAAGTAAATTTAGTTTAATTCTGAATGGGGAGAGGGACTTCACGGGTAAATGAAAGATTTCATAGTACGCCAGAGGTTTAAATAAGCGTGGGGAAAGTCGGATCACAACTCTATTAAACACCAAAATCTACTACATCTTCACCAGTGTTTCTTCCGAACTCTTTTCTCCGGGGGAGGGTGGACACTTGAAATTTTCGGGGGGGGGGGGGGCGGTAGACTTTCTTCGGGGGTGGGGCGGACACTGTTAAAAGTATATATTTTCTAAATAAATTATATAAATTTCATTTCGTTCGGGGGGGGGGGGGGGGGGGGGGGGGCGGTAGAATTGTTTCGGATGGGGGCAGTGTTTCTTCCAGACTTTTTTCTCCGGGGGGGGGGGCACTTGAAATCTTCGGGGGGGCGGTAAACTTTCTTCGGGGGGGCGGACACTGCTAAAAGTATATATTTTCTATATAAATTATATAAATTTCATTTCGTTCGGGGGGGCGGTAAAAAATTTTCGGGGGGGCTTTGCCCCCCCGAAGAGATGCCTGGAAGAAACTCTGGATGGGGGGGGGGGCGGGCTTGGCCCCCCCGAAGAGATGCCTGGAAGAAACTCTGATCTTCACACATTTTAAAATACGTAAGCACTTATATGCCATTTTAAACTTATTTATAAACATAGACAGAGTTTTGTAATGTGAGAGTTATACCAAAATGTTAATGAGGATTTTCCTTGTATAGTTCTAGAACTTGGATATAAATAAACTATTTTCATGACAACGTTAAAATGTATTCAGGCATTTTAGAATTCGTAAATTTAAACAACTACATACATGCTTAAATAGCTTAATTATGTGTACTTTATGTGTACTTTAAATCATTATAGAAGATCCTCTTCACCACAAGGCACCCCCCTCCATGTTTTTAAGGCGACGTCAAATAAAGAATTAGACCTAAGTACGAGAACTTGCGATGGAAAAGCCCAAGTTACATTTCTCTTGATGCTGCATAACAAATAAAAGCTTAAAAAATTAGTAAATACGGGGAAAAAAATCCAATATATATGCATTTGCATTAATGTTAACATTATTTTTTTTAATCCATTCAACATTATTACGTAAAAAATATCTTATCTTAATACAAAATTGCTTTTTAATCTGAAACATATTAATTTAGTTCTATTTTTAAGGGTTTAAACTTAAAAAATTAATATTCATTTTACGAACTGCATTTATATTCGGACATAAGGGCCTACTTATGTTTTCCAGAGGCTCAGGCCAGTCGAACACCAAAGTTTATAAATTACATTCAAAAACTCAAATGACGTGGCTTTCAATATGACAAGTTTCATTTTTAAAAAGAAATTCCCGCTGCAACTGAAATAAAAACCCTCCCTATTGATGTGTCTGCAAATAGTGCTGTTTATGCATGGATTGTAAACATAGTGTTGCAATAGAGGTCGGATGGGGAACGGCTATGGCTAAATTAGCATTGGAATAGGCACAGTAGTTTCATGGTACAGTTGCGAATGCGTGGAATCACGTTCGACTTATTATGTAAATTATTCACATACTCTTTTAAAGGAAACATAAGCTGTAAGCACTTAAAACTGTACCTTAAAACATAATCACAAACATAGACATGTAATACTCTACTTTTAACGATGGTTGTCTTGCTCACTTCTTAAAATAAAACTATTTTAAGTAACCAACTTTTAAACGAAACATTTCCTTATGTTGACAAGTATTGTAAAATTTATAAGTTACATTTTAAATTAATCTCTTGTCGTTTTTCTTCAAAAATGGGCATACCTGAAAGCAATAAAAATGAACATCAATGTATGTATTTTAATTGGTTAAAAAATTGTATACGATGGTGGTAGTTAAGCAACCATTACCCGTATTTAAAAGGTTGTTATCTAAAATGTGTTTGATTTTTAGTACATAAAGCCTTACTTTTCAGTAACATGTCTCTTTTAAACTTCAGTAACCCAATTAGTGACAATTTGAAATCATTAGACCATATTATTATACTTAATTAACAAATAACATCATACTCACATAATACATATAAAATAATTTACAATTAGTAATCGAATAAACACGGCTAGAGTTTAGTTATGTTATAATTTCAGAGTCTACAAATATCTAAAATTCTAAATATTTAAAGCTTGCCGTTAAATATTAAATGAAATAATTTTATTAGGTTAAGGTTTTTTTTAAAAAAGACAGTCCTTTAGAATCAAGATGGTGGGAAATCCGATACCACATTTTTTAAAGAAATGTCAATGAACAACGTCTTTAAAATAATTTCTCCTACCAGCGGATTTAATTTCATCTCCGATCGGATAAAACATGTTATTTTTCAAAACAAAACAAAAAAAAACCGGGAGTGATCTCCCCTAAACTTTCTCGAAATTTCTTATATAACTGTACTGGAGGTAGCACATCACCATATAGACATGATTTTTAATCCATTTTTAATTACTAAGCTTTTTATAAAAGAATAGAATCTTGTAGAAAAAAATAATTACACACCAAGTGAACGCCAAGCAAAATGTACATAATACTGCGGGATATTCCTAATCTATAAATTCACATGCGTTTTTTGAGAAATCGGAAATAGCGTAAATTACTACTTCCGGTCAACGGAAATTACTCAAAATTTGACACAAGGCCGAGAATTGGGTTTTTTACTTACAAGTGAAATTGTTTTTATCTATCTGAAATAGTTCTCAAGTTATAGACTTTTGAAAAATTGAAAGTTGAAAAAAAATCCATTTCCGGTAATCGTAAATCAAAAGTGGATACGGATCTACAAATTTGATATAATACTTATATATGAAATTTCATCAACCTAGCTGCAACGATACTCAAGTTATGGTATTACACACACACACACACACACACACACACACACATACACACAGACATACGGACAATATTGCAAACCTATGTTTTTCCGACTCATGGAGGTGTAAAACGTCGAGATTTGCAAAAAATCAAAATTTTTGTTTGAACGATTACAATACTTGCTCTATACTTTGTATACGAGAAAGTAAAAAACTTAAGATTTTTGTTAACATTGGTTAAGATTATTTCTCCACAGTCGAAGCTTGGCTGTATGTACCGGGCAAACGAGTTCAGACACTAAAATAAACATACCATAAACAGATTGGTAAATACAAACTATGTTAAAATTACGCGTTTTTTGTTAACACTCATGTGCGAGGTCAGGTAAAACATTTTTAAATAAAGTAGAAAACTTTAATTTTCATGATATTCTCCAGAAAAAAAAAATTATATATATATATATATATATATATATATATATATATATATATATATATATATATATATATATAGAGAGAGAGAGAGAGAGAGAGAGAGAGAGAGAGAGAGAGAGAGAGAGAGAGAGAGAGAGAGATTATCGTCATCCAAAAAATGGTTAAATGACATCAAATTCTTTGATAGTGTTCAAAGATATAGGCCCACTAAAATCTAAAATAAACATTTTAATAATGGAAAATGCTAATTGTTCATAACACGCTAAATGAAAATCTATGATTTTAATAAGGGGGACACTCTGGGATAAGAAGGATGGAAAAACTGTGTGGTATTTTACGCCAACGTTTAAAGTAAACATGAGACTAACTTTAGAACTTGGCCTGTGAAATCACACAACTCTCGTGTTAACAGTGCAAGGCTCCCGTTCGTATACAGTGTGAAAGGATTCAAGTGTGTTTCAAATTTTCACTTTGGTAAATTTCAAATGCTTATTAAAATTAATTACAATTTTGAGTGTTGAATATAAACAAGTATATTTTACCATTGTAAAAGTTACTGGTGTAAATTTATCTTTAAAAAAAAAACTTACATAATTTGTTGCAGTAATTATCAAAGTATCAAGTTCATGGCAATTTTTTTAAATATTATTTTATTAATTATATTAATAACACATATATGTTTTATTTTACTTTTGTTTGTATAATAATATTTTATGATTAAAGTTCTAGTTTTCATCTTAATTAACAATGTTAAAATAAATATTTTAAAAGTTGATATCAATAACAGTACGGAAATGCATTTAATCTTAGGTGGTATACAAGAACAGAGATGACGTCTTTAAAAAGTTGTGTGATCTCGTCCATTGTGGTCTGGTTAATTTGTATCACACCAATACAAACTTTAACCTTAGAGACAACTGAAAATTTCAATGAGGCTTTGAGACAAGACAGAAAACAAACAATGTGTCCTACACAGTGCTATTGTACTGAAGACAAAACCACGCAGCAATTTAATGTAGACTGCTCCAGCAGACATCTACAGAATATTCCAGACTTACCTCCACAAACGACGAGGTTGGATTTAAGCCTGAACAACATCAACAACATCCAGTCATTTTTCTTCAGCAACCTTACGCAGCTGAGCTACTTGGACTTATCGTTTAATAAACTCTATCACATTTTTAATAACACTTTTTATGGTCTGCATTCGTTAAAATGGCTCTCCTTAATGAAAAACAATTTAATTTATTTAAAGTCAACATTTGAATTAGATGCATTTAACGGACTAGATCAACTTGAAGTCTTACATCTAGAATGCAACAGTCCAAGTAAAGATAATGCAATATACCCAGATCAAGCCATTTCTAAATTAAAAAATCTTAGAGAAATAAACATTGACGGTTACCCTGTTCCTCTAGGACCTGGATTTAGAAACTTAGAGAAATTAGAGGGTATATTTTTAAGAACATTAATTTATTGTTCATATTGCAATATGGGATCGGCTATGCCTGACAATTTTTTCGAGAACATCGTGTCACTTCGACCTATGACGATAGCGCTATCAGTTTGCTATATGTCGTATTTACCACCACGACTATTCAGCCCTATCAGAAATCTCCATAATCTCGACATTTCGAAAAATCGTATTACGTTCAAAGGTTTTAAAAATGGAACCGAATCTCTAAACGGCTCAAACATAGAGTCTTTAAATTTACATGGAATTGACAAAGACGGGATCGATTATAACGTGATAACGAGGCACATGTTTAGACATTTAAAAAACACCCCTCTCAAATATTTAGATCTGTCGGCTAACAGAATCTATAGTGTACATATTTTTGCTTTTAATGACTTGCCTCCGACTCTTGAATATTTATCACTAAAGAATAATGTATTATCGAGGGCTTCTATCCTTTTTGCATTTTTATCTTTGCGGCAAGTTAAAACTATTGATGCAAGTTTCCAAACTCAATATACAATAATGAATGAGACTGATCTAGAAAGAGATATAAATCTTGGATCTGTTTCTACTAATATCGCTAGTAATGGAGAACATTTTTGTGGGAAGTATTCATCGGAGTTTATTATCAATAATAAAAATACGCTTGGGATAAATATAACAACAACTAAAATAAGACGCGTGATTTACTGGGCTTTTCCACCAAATCTAGAAGTTTTAATTAGCGGGTCGATGAAAGTTGAATATTCCATCCCTGCCATAACAATTTTAAACAATACAGTACTCAGATACATGGACTACTCAAACAACATGGCCAGGTGCTGGGGAGGGCCCATGAATGGACTACCAGCTCTACAATATCTCGACTTATCCGAGAATTATTGTACCAAAATGAATTTAATATTTTTCAAATATCTGACGAATTTGACGACACTTCTTCTACAAGACAACCTTCTTGGTCCTATTTTGGCCAATGACACTTCAGGAATAGCTTTCTCAACACTGACCAGATTGGAGACATTGAACATCAGCGGCAACACTATAACATCTTTATCTAGAAATTTCTTTGAGAATAACATTAATTTAAAATATTTAAATCTCTCTGGAAACGAACTAACAGATTTCGACATAGATATAATTACAGTTACCAAAATTGAGGTTATTGATTTAACCGGTAATTTAATTTCAGGATTTTCTGATAAAATGTGTAAAGATTTAAAACAACAGAAAGCCAAAAACACAAATTTTAATATTAGAATCCAGTTTAATCGCTTGATGTGTACTTGCAAGTACCTGTCGTTTGTCCATCTTCTAATCACCGACCCAGACATATTTGATAGTGTAGACTCCATCAACTGTACCACAGCTGACGGCTCCATCTTATCACATGACCAACTGGCAACATTCTACCCTCAGTTAATGAAGAGCTGTGTCTCACAGGAAATTTTCATTGGAACTCTCGTTACGTTTTTCATCGTTCTCGGCACTGTCTTATTGTCGGCCATGTTTTACTATAACCGATGGAAATTTGCGTACCTCTATTTCATTGGATCAAAGAAACTTCACATTGGCGACGTTCTTCTGACGTATAAGCCAGTTGCGGATGTTTTTATAACCTATGAACAGGTAAATTCATGCTGTTAATTTCTATAGATTGCACCATACTGCAGCATACAACCATATGACAGACGTGTGACGGTTTTTATTTTGTGCAACCCCTTATCGGAGAACCCAAATTCGACACAGGCGTGTAACCACCTGTTTATACGTATTCGTCCACGGCTAAGGAATTCCGCCTTTATGCTCTGGACAAGTCTTTTAGCACTGACATATGCGATTCCAACTGTGACTGCAGGTTCGAGATTACACCACTTTATTTCTTGATGAATATTCACAATTCCTAGAATAACATGAAAATAAACAATGTTCAATTTATTCTCTATCTCTTGCCCTTTCTGCCTCCAATCGTTCTAGCTGCGTTTCTTCACACAGGCCCAAAAGTAGCTTGTATACACACCAGCTATACCTAGATGGTACCGCCAATTACGTCTTATTTCGTATTGGTTATCTTTCTGTCTATTTGTTTACGCCAGAGTGTCACTTTTTGTTGACAAGTCAAATTAAGAAACAACATCTTGTTTATGCCAAAGCTACAGTTTTGGCCTTGACCTTGTCCTTGTTGACAGACAACTATTACGTTGTTATCAATTATGGCGTTAGTAGCTTTCCACTATACGTTGTTATTGTAACAACACTAGTGTTATATATATATATATATATATATATATATATATATATATATATATATATATATATATATATATATATATATATATATATATATATATATACATAATTAAGAAATTATATTACTTCATAGGAACCAGAATATCGTCACCTAGCGAGGAACGTCTTCTTTCCTCGGCTAAATGAGAACCACGTCACATTTATAAACGGCGAGGACGACTTCCCAGCTGGCCCACAACAAAACAACATCGCTGGCGCCATTGCCGGTACAAGAAAGACACTCATCCTACTCTCGCGAGATATCTTTGAAGACAGGAACCGGGAACTCGAGATGAACCTGGCCATCATGCACGAAATGAATTGTTCTGATAGGATAATCGTGCCTGTTTTTGTGTGTCACTTTCCCGTCATCACCTGGCCAGTGGAGATCGTGACCTACATCAGAAACCAGAATCACCGTTGTTTGTTGTATGAGGACACGGAAGAGTTTTGGAAAATGTTGATAAATCAAATACGTCAGTGATATGGGGACCGCAGAATTTCATTGAGCGAGATATGTTTGTACACTTAACCTATCATCGATGAACGTTTCTCAGTTGGTAATATTTAACTTTAAAACATGCTTCTTTTTATTATCCCAACATTTTTATTTTCATTAAGATGTGCCCATTCGTATCTCCGATGTAGGGATACTACACTTTTAGAAATTATACATTTGTATATCTATATAAACTCTCCACATAATTCTACATGCAACCCTTTCTCATTCCCTTAATAACACCTCTAATGTACCTCTCAACTAAAAAAAAGCAGCTGCTAAAATGATAATGATGATGATGATTAGATGTACCTTGGTGATTACAATGGGATGAAGATGTTGCGTATTACATAAAAGAAAGATTTATAGGAATAACAAGTATCTGTACTCGTGAAATATTCATAGAAAGCTTTTTTGTGGTAACTGGTTTGCTATATTTTATCACTTGAGAACTACAACATGTAGCCTACAATATATTATCAGCAGTATGTCTTATGATTGTCACTGAAGAATTTTTGCTACAATATATAAAAACAATGACTCTGGTAAAACATTTTCAATCAAGAGGCTCAGAGACGTAGCGACCCTTCCCTGCGCCCGGGGACAAATTTTCAATTTTTCGCCCCCCTCGAGAACAGCCATTCAATTTTCAATTTCCAACCACCCCCCCCCCCCCCCCATCAAACTTTCAATTTGTTTTTCCAACCCATTTTGGCGCCCCCTAAGGTTGGCGCCTGGGGAAATATGTACCCCCTCCCCACCCTCAAACAATCTTTCAATTGGCACCCACCCTTTAAACTTTCAATTTATTTTTCCAACCCATTTTGGCACCCCCTAAGGTCGGCGCCTGGGGACATATGTACCTTCTCGCCCCCCCCCCCACCCCACAGTTACCTCGTAGAGTGTCGTCATACTAGAATTATATCAAAATGTTAATGAGGATTTTCCTTGTAAATTTCTTAAACTATTTCATTAAAAACGTTAAACTTCCAAATGATGTTATGTATTTTAGAATTCGTAACTTTAATTAATAATATTTTTAAACAAAAAATGCTTAAAATTAAAATAGCTTAATTATATGTATTTTAAAGAAGGTCCTCATCACCACATTAAGGCGACCCTGATGTTTTTAAGGCTACACCGTATAAAGAATTAGACCTAAGTACGAGAAACTGCGACTGATAAGCCCAAGTTACATATTTGTTGGTGCTGTATAACGAATAAAAGTTATAAAAGTAAATATGAAAAAGATACCGAAAAATGTGCTTGTGAAATTTCAAAATATATTCAACATTATTACTTGAAAATATCTTATTTGATGAAGATACAAAAACGCATTTTAATCTTAAACCTAGTACATTATTTCTATTTTTACTGCTTAAACTTAAAAGAGTAATATTCATTTTACTAACGCGTACTTGAGATTTGCAGGTGTTCATGCCAGCTAAACGTCAAAATACAGAAATTACATCCAAATCATCAAATAACATGGCTTTTAAAATAATAAGGATGTTTCCTACAAAAGTGTCATTGATGTTAAGTATGAAGATGTTTTTTTTTAAGGAAATCCCCATGCAACTTTTCAAATAAAACCTCCCCATTCATACGTCTGTAAGCAGTGCTTTATATGCGTGGATTTTAAAGACCGTGTTGTCAATAAAAAGCGGATGGGGAACGGATATGACTAGCTTAACATTGAAATAGGAACATTAAATGTATAGTACACTTGCGGGTGTGTGGAGTCAGGTCCACCTGTAAAGTACATAGAGCGTGCCATGTAAAACGAACTGGTGTAACGAAGCGTATTATAGTACGCTTGCGGATTTTGAATAAACATTGAAGGAGTCTGATCGCAAATAAAAAGCGACATAATGTGTACATTAATCACTTGCTATATTTAAAAGTAAACATACACTCTAAGCACCCTTGGCTATTCCCTAAATCATAATCACAATCTCATTTATATATTTGTATATTTTAATTTATTTAAAATTATTATTTGATAGTAGTAGTTACGCAACAACTGCTCGTACTTTTCAGGTTGCCTAACTCAAAGTTGTTGGTTTTTTAGAAATAAAAAGCTATATTTTTTTAGTAACCTGGCCCTTTTAAACTTTAGTAACCCAATTAGCGCCAATCGGAAATATTTAGATCTTATACTTAAGTAACTATTAACATCGTACTCATCAAATACATTTAAAATGAAACCCAGTTTGTCTATATACTACAATTAATTGTTAAAAATTTTGTTACACTCATATACACTGTGTAAATTCTGAAACAATTTATTTTTTCAAAGAAACATAGTTATTCGTGCTTAAACTTCTGCGTCTAGTATCATTTTGTCATGCATAGCAGAAGATCATTTTACAGTGATAAGATTTCTAGGTTATTGTGGGCAGATAAAGCATTACATTAGGCATAAGTTTAAATATCTGATGTTCATTGTCGTTCTTCATCGTTCAGTACCCCATGTAGTTTTCAAAACAATAGGAATGGCATGCTTGTTAATTAATTCAGACATCAGAAATGACAGTCTTGTATATTCAAACAGTAGAAATTAGACCTTTGTGATTTCAGACGAAATCTGAATTGTTCCACATCCTAACAAAGATAGTAGTAAGCGTCAGTCAATGACTCATCTATCCTAAAGGGAAGCATCGATAACTTCTTCTCAGCTGTCTTTGTTTCGTTAGTCGCAGAGGGGGTCGGCTTGGTCGGGCAGATGAGGCTCTTTAGCTGGGGACAGCTACTCTTCGAGGAGAGACAACTCCAAAATCAAACAACTGCTGCCTTGTAGTTTGTTCTTGGTTAGACAAAAGCTATGGAAGCAAATCCAAAAAGAAAAGCAGGCTGAAATCGGAGTCAATGGCCTAAATAGCGCATAACCAGTTGATACGTATCCTTAATTGTGATGGTAGCATGGTCAAGTCGGAAAAAGCTCATGGTTGATAAATTCGAAGAAGTCTCGAGTTCAAACCCTCTGGCTGATAAGCCTCGACCCCTTCCAACACTAAGAATTAAAATCGAAGAAGAAGAAGAAAAAGTTAGTTGCAGCGTGGCACTTTGCTTCTCTAAGCGAGATCATACAAATGCCGGTACCACATATTTGGCAGTGGGCTTATATTTAAATTTCTCCTTCATTTGATTGCTTAACAAACGGCTACATGTTTCAATAATCGGTCCAACATGTTTGGAAATGTATGATTATAATTTTACGAAGTGTAGAGTATAGAGGAAGTATTGTAATCGTGGAAAAAATCAAAATCGAAATTTCCACAAATCTCGGCGATTTACGCCCCACAGAGTGGGACAATTTTAATTTTGAAAATCTATCTGTATGTCCTTCAGCGTGTATGTGTATGTGTGTGTGTGTGTGTGTCTGCGTGTCGGTGTCTGTGTCTGTGTGTCTGTGAACATAAGTGTCATTTTAGTTATGTTGATGAAATTTCATGTATAGGTATTCATATCACATTTGTAGTTTTGCATCAACTTTTGAACGATTTCCGGTACATGATGTGGTACTTGCTGAATTTCCGGTTTCTGAAAAATTTATAACTTGAGTAACGTTTATGTTGTGAGATATAATTTGGTTGAATTAGATGATACGTCAATTTCTTTTTTTTTTATTTCATCATTTTTTTTATTTATATAGCATACTTTTCCCCTTCAATTATACGTACTTTGCTTACGTTCATAAGGTGTGTAGTTTTTTTTTTTTTTTTGTTATAAGCGATTCAATTCTGTGTAAAAATTGGTAATTTACGAGAAAGCTTAGGGGAGGTAACTCCCTCTTTATTTTTATTTTAAATTTTTTTTTGACGTTTCTTCGTTTTCTTTGACTACTTGGCTTCCTTTCTCGACATAGAATATTTACAATTCTAATTCAAGCCTTTTTTATGACGATAAAGAAAAATGATCAAACATGCACTGATTTTGTATACCCTACTTTTACTAGCTCTTACTTTGATTTTGCAGTTTTTAGTAATATCCCCTTTACGTCATACGAAGCATGGAGCAAATATTATGCCCTTCATTCGGGAAAACCCTTAAAAATAGGTTAATCGGCACAAAGTGACGTTTAATATTTAAATAGTCGGCGAAATAAAATCTTTTTAGTGAAATTGTAAACTTGTCGGGAAAACTACAAGTAGGCAGCTTTTGTCTTTTTTTTTATTCATCTTACACAAAACAAAATAGACCAAAGCACAAGAGGTTGCTGTGGATAAACCCCACGGCAACCTAATGTTAATGTTCAGTGACTCACATTTTGATTAAGTAGGTAAGGAGTTGTGTTTGATTTTTTATTTTATTTTACAAACAGCAACATTAAAGATTCTTTTTTTTACAGCAACACTTTAATTAGAATTATAATAAGTAGTAAAAAAAATACTGTTTTAATATTTCAAATTCTAAGACAATATAAATTACAAATAATCTCTCTATTCAAAAATTCTCTCTGCGCATTTGATTATTATTTATGTTGTTTTTTTTTAGAAAACATTTGAAAAAGTAGTCTAATAGTCAGGTAAAGATAAAATATATTTTGCTTTTACAACTCGACACCATTAGACTGTGGGAATATAAATATATGTGAGATGCATTATAGAAACGAGACTATTTCAGAGAGAAAATGTTCTTTATAGACATATAAATAATAGACATGACATTTTACATGTCAATTAAAAATGTAAATGAATACGATTTTTATACCACATTATGAAATAAAGGTTCAGCATTGTGAAGAATGCATAAACAGCGGATGAAATACAATTTATTTTGAACCTTATCAGGCATTTAACATAGATTTTAAAAAAAAACCATTGCGAATATAATTAAATTTTTATAAATTAATGAAATAAGAAGAAAAATGAAAAACAAAATGTGTTCGTGTTTTAAATCCTTTTAACTTTTGAAATTCTAGCTAAGAATAATTATTTTAATATAACACAAGCTTGTAAATATTTAATTCTGGTCGTTAAATTCTGAAGCAAAACATATTATTTGGACCAAAGTTTTCTTAAAGAATATGGCAGTCCTTTAGAATACAGATAGTTGGAAATTCGATCTTATATTTTTAAGGAAAGTCAACGAACAGCGTCTTTAGAGTTTTACGTGGATGTAGTTTCTCCTAGCGGATAAAGCGTGTTATTTTTTTAAATAAAAGAAAAGAAAGAAGAAAAAAACCTACCGTTCACCTGACTGGAGGTACCGGACAAACGAGTTAAGAAACTAATGTAAAAATACGATGACTAATATAACAGATCGGTTAACACAACTAACATTAAAAGGAAGCCCTCTATTTGAAGCA